GGCAGACAACATATTCAGCTGATTCAACTTTGGATAAGAATCTGAACTGTCAGGTCCATGAAAAAATAGTCTGAAAACATTATTGCGTCAAGCCTTGAAGTTTGAAGAACAAACAAAGGAAATATACTAGAAATCAATGTATGTGTTTGTTCCTGACATTATTGCTTTTATTACAAGTAAAGCTAATTAGAATCATCATTTTCTATGTTCTTGGTATATTTTGTATTGTTTTGCCATTCAAAGCATTTTATGGTTTTTTGTTAGAAATATAAACCCTACTCCTTGTTCACTTTTGGCACAGTGCATTTATACTCCCATCCAAGACTTAAAGACCTTTACCAAGTTTGTATGGCCCATTTATCCAAGTAAACTGAGCCCATGTTGATTTACAAAAGTGGCATGGCTTTATGATTATGACAATGGTTTGGTATTAGAGTGACTTGGACCATTTTCTTAAAGGAAAAAAAACAATTCAGTTCAATTCAGTTTTATTTATACAGCGCCAAATCACAACAACAGTCACCTCAAGGCATTTTACATTGTAAGGTCGACCCTACAATAATACATACAGAGAAAAACCCAACAATCATATGACCTCTATGAGCAAGCACTTTGGCGACAGTGGGAAGGAAAAACGCCCTTTTAACAGGAAGTGCCGTCCGGCAGAACCAGGCTTTAGGAAGGGGCGGGGCCATCTGCTGCGACCGGTTGGGGTGAGAGAAAGAAAACAGGATAAAAGACAGCCAGAGATTAATAACAAATATGTTTCAGTGCAGAGAGGTCTATTAACACATAGTGAGTGACGTAAATTGACTGAAGAAGGAATACTCAATGCATCATGTGAATCCCCCAGCAGCCTAGGCCTATTGCAGCATTACTAAGGGAGGATTAAGGGTCACCTGATCCAGCCCTAACTATAGCAAAAAGGAAAGTTTTAAACCTAATCTTAAAAGTAGAGATAGTGTCTGTTTCCCAAATCCAAACTGGAATAATTCCAGTTCTAATAGTTGCATTGCATTTCAGCAGTGTGTGTATGTTGAGGCAAATCCTGACCTGAAGTCCTGTCAGATAATCAAACTAAACACGTCTTCGAAGTGTTAAAGGCGCTGCTGGTAACAAGAAACAGACCCCTGGAATATGTGGTGCGGGATAGCAACTGTCAGTGTTCCGTCAATCATAACAGCTGTATTCCAGGAAGAGGGCAGAAAGCCCTCCTCCCTCTAACCTTGCTAAGCATTTTTGCACAATAACAAAGCCGCAGGCTCTCAAGTTTTACATGAAATCCAAACGTGACCCCGTTGTCTCGTTCAAACACAGTCCTCACTTAGGAAAATCCCCTTTGATCTGAATACTTGGCAGTGAAAACATCCCTGTGAGTTGTCTAGGTGTTTTTAGTGTGTGTGTGTGTGTGTGTGTGTGTGTGTGTGTGTGTGTGTGTAGGGATTGATGTTTTGGAAAGAGCACGTATTTTTTGTCATGCAGACCGAATGCTAACACAGCAGATGTGGTTTGGGGTACATATGATTAATGTATGCAGATATCAGAAAACTGACTAAAATATTTATGGCATTAGAATCAAAAAGCTAGAATACATGACACAAACACATGCACTGCCTTTTATGTTGAGTACAATGAAGGGCATTATGGAAATGGAAAAATGAGGCTGAATGAACAGGGTGAGATGGGGAAGAAAGGACGTGGGCAGTTTGTTTGCACAACATGTTTTTTTTTTTTTATTATTTTATTTTCCTGCGTGCCCTTAGGCCTTCTTTGAGGGTGGTCCTTGCCTCCACCTCTTCATGTTCTCTGCCATCTTTGGTGAACTGGGGAGCTCACTTTCGGTTGTTAATGGCACACATGCGCACAGGTTGTGTTTTTTGGCCACCCCTGTGGAGGTAAAGTATTGCACACGTTGCACAAAGCTCTACGAAGCAGTAAATGGAGCAGTAAATAGCTGCTTGGCTGTTCAGAGTTTAGTACAAAATCAGGTAGTGCTGAAAGTGATCCAGGGAGCGTGTACCTTCGCAGTGAGGGATGTTACTACTTGTTTATCTGCAAGTACAGAGTGATAGTGTAGGTGAAGTGCAAGTAATCTTTCTGCTGTAAAAGGATTTAAAGCACTCCGACTTACAGATATTTGGGGTTGATTGTTGGGTTTTCTCTGTATTATCATAGGGTCTTTACCTTACAATGGAAAGTGACTTGAGGCTTTGAGATTGTGATTTGGTGATATATAAATAAAACTGCATTGAAATATGTTTTTCCATTGGTGGCTCAGGAGTTAAATATTTTCTGTTGTTATTGTCATCGTTAATTGCAGTTTTAGTGGTATTACATGCACAAACGGAGGAAACATGTTACTCCATGTTAGTCTCCCCATCACCCTCACTTTTTCTGTTTATCTTTCACTCCAGCCCCCTTTTCCTCACCGGACTCTCCTGTAGTATAATCAGATTATGTGAGGAATGTGGGAAAGTGTCTGTGTATTCAGTGTCAGAGCTGCTCTCTAACAGTCAAGCAGCAATAAAGATGAACCGTGGCTGCACTGGATACAAACATCTATTGATTTTATTGTCATAACGCTGAGATATTAATATGAAGAGCATTAATGCTTTTTGCCAGCTACCTGCACCATCATCTGTTTTTGTTTAGTTAAATGCTTGTGGGAATTGTGATTACATGTGGTATTCAGACCTGTTTTGAATAGACCCTCCAACTCGGGCCCAGTGGCATGGGATAGTGGAAGAAATTTTTGGAATGGAAAGACTTACCTTTGTCCTTAGACTTGAGCTTGAGAAATTCAAGAAGCTCTGGGAAAAATGGATTGTGTACTCCCTTTGTACTGAACAATTAAATATTACCATGATGTAAGTAGATACTAATGTTGAGACTGTGTATGTCTTCCATGCTGACCTAAAGTTTTGTATTCTCGTACTGTAAATTAATAAATAAAAAGTTATTAAAAAAAAGACCTGTTTTGAATGAGATATATGAGGTCTGCTACTTCATGACTTATGTCTGTTATAAAATAGCCTGAAATAGTCTTAATGGCATGTGACATGCTAAACTGCTGTGACATTTGGCACATGGGTTAGCCATTAGGCCAGCTTATCTCCTGTGCCTGTTGCTCAGATATCGGTTAAGCTGATTTCATGTGATTATATGGAAACACAAACATATCACAGCTTGCTTGGAAGCAAGTCCTGTCTGTATGTTTGATGCTAATGTCTCCCATAAAGATTAGTGTACATTTTTTTGTGTGTCATGTAACACAAGTTTAACTTTTCAAAGTCACTATAATCAAATGAAGGTAAGGGTCAGCGTTATTGGTCATTTAGTTTTGAATAGTTTTGAACAAAATGTGAATGTTTTTGAAAATTCCAGACTTTTAAATTCATACACAGTTGTTTGGCTTGTAGTTTAATTACTTCATCTTCAGTTCCTCGTGCCTCTTTTCTCGTTTTGGGCCTGGAGAAGTGGATTAAAGTCAGGTTCAGTGTCGTCACTAAGGCTACGTCCACACGTGCCCGGGTATTTTTGAAAACGCAGATTTTTCTATGCGTTTGCACCTTTCGTCCACACGTAAACGGCGGTGTGGACGTAGCCTAAGATCTCACTAAGAAATTTCCTTCTGCAGCCCCAGAAAACAAAAACAGTAATCTATTCTCTGACGGGGAGAGTTTAAAACCTAAAAAAACAAAAACAAACTAGTTTGTAGATGCACAAAAAGTCAGATCCAGTAAATTTGCCAGGTTAGTCTGCTCAGCAGCTGCTCTCAGATTGTTTCTGAATCACGCTCAGACATTCAGTGACTCGACGTTGTCACAAAGGGCAGTAACCACAGAAAGTCCTCATTAACTCCACTTAACATTTTCAGTCTGCAGCTGCTGTCCAGGATGATGCAGTGCCTTTTGATACAATCAGGTGTTAACAAAAAGCTTCACTGAGCTGGGACCCTCATCTTGAGACAGTGCTTCTTATCTGAGTGTCTGTGCAAAGCGTGGCATCTCAGAGTCACGCTTCTGAGCCCAATCAAATGCTCTCAGATCAAGTGTGTGGAGATAGACTCACTGATACCTTGCTCCCATACCTATCTGCGAGCTATGTTCTGTATTCGGTTTCCCTGCTTTTGTTTTGCTCTGTGTGGGAAGCTGCTGGTGTATTTTTCACCTGCGGCTATAATTCCATCAGGTACATTGCCAGATCTGTCCCTGCCCAGCACCTATCAGCTTGCTGGCTCTGTGCACTTGAAGGACTGTCAGCGCTTGTGATTGATTTACTTGAAAATTCTGTTTTCCACAGGGCCACCTGGCTGCCCACTTATGTTACATAACAGTATTTTGTGCTTTTCCAGTATCTGTTTAATGTTGGTTTGTTGCACAGGGCCAAAAAATACTTGTCAGTGTGTTTTAACTGAAACATGCGCTACATTGGGACTGATTAATGAGCAGCTAATGCTGGGGCCTGTTTGTGTGCCACCAAAAGGTTGTTTGGGAAGCCCAGCACTCACTTTTCACATTCTGAAACACTCTGTTTCACTCAATACAGTATTAAATTGGTATTAATCCACAGGTCAAAATAGTTCAAAGAAAATAATAATCTCTTACAATGTAAGCATTAGAATGTCATCATCATTTTGGGTAAACGCTTACCAAATATGACTCGTGAATGAAAACTATGGTACAGTTGTGCGGTGTTGTAGTGATATAGTCTATACTGCTCTTCATCTGCAAACACAGTGCATTAGTGTTTCTGTTGGCTGATGGTGTACATCTGCTCAGTTAAACAAAGGTAAACAACTAACTAGTCTTTGATTTCTCACCCAGCTCTTAATTGCAGACAGTGAAAAACAGAAAAGCAAGCTGTAAGAGTAACGTTCCACAAATTAGTTGTTTTCAGTATTGGTGCGATCACACAAAGATAAAGTAGCGTAGGTCTCATTCCAATTAGACTAGAGTTCCATAACCTGACTCTTTGATATTTGTGTATTTGTTCTCCAGCAATGGAGGAGCTGGTGTGTGAGCTTCGTCTGTTTCTGGACCTGCTGGACAGAGAATATCTGAGTGCTGGGGTCCGAGAGAAGAAGATACACCTCTCCAATATTCTGCACAGAGTACTGTCCGACAAAGGTGAGGATTAAACTTATACTGCACCTTCTGAAACACTTTAAGGGACTCAGAGCTGGAGTAAGTCCATTAGGTGGTCAGATATTAGATACAACACCTGACCTTACTATGGCTGACTGCAGGAGTTCCATGAGCAGTCTGGTACATACACAAAGAATGTAGACCACAATAAGCTGGTCCTAGGTCAGTGTGGGATTGAATTGTATGGTTGCTGTCATCATAGAGTTATATTGGTTTACATTTACTTATAAAACCCTTTACTTGTAAGCTAATATAGCCAAAAGTTGTTTATGACAGATTAAAAGAGTTAATTTCATCAGTTTGATGTTTTCTGAGCTTTTCTTTAACACAGACTTTTTTCTTTAAGATGTGTGTGGCTGCCATTATTGAAATAAAATTCAAATGCAAAAACATGTTTATATTAAAATCTGGATGAATCGAACATGAAAAGAAGATATACACAGAAATTTTATTGTATTTTTGTTTCTTGTTTGCATCCTTAAACGCGAAGATTGTTTTAGTGCTATACTGGAAGCCTCAAAACATGAGATTATTCACACAAATTCATAATGACGTTTCAGTTTTCTATCAACAACAAAATGTCACGTGTAGAAATATTTATTGGAGATTTTGCATTTTAACATTAAAAATCTCCACAAAGGGACCTTGTAATGAGGAGCAGAAGTGAAGCGCATTAAAATCAGAGAAACACAGAAGCACAGTCTATTTGGTTCTATAATTTTAAGAAGGGAAATTACGACATTTTATTTTTTGTCACTACTTAGATTTGACACTAGTGGCACTGTAAAGCATCTTCTTGTTTATATTCATAATAGCCACTTGATTTCTTCTAGAGCCTTCATTCAAGTCAGAGATACACAGCGGACTGCCTGCTCCACCTCAGATGCCACTTCCAGAGATCCCTCACCCCTGGATGGTAAGACTGAAGTTTATTTAGATTTATTAATTTTAGTTCTCTGTAATTTGGCCATGCTGGAACTTATTGCAAGCAGTGCTCACAGTAAGAGTTATACCGAGTTCCAGTATGCGTTCTGGTTGTCTGACTAAAGAGAGTTGTTTCTACAAATACCAGATAGCCCTGCGTCATTCTGCTTCCGCTGCTATGGGTCATCCTCTCAGCCCAGCTGCTTTAATGCAAAACCAAGCAAATCAATGGTGAAGGACAAAAGAATACTTTATTTTCAGGACACTGCTGAGTAACTACATTTTGAGCAATGAAGTGCAAGTCACATGTAATTTATTTATAAGTAAGTGATAAATAAAGGAAAGACAGCTCATTTTCTTCCTAACGTTTCTGTATACGACCCAATTTGATCCCAGCGTTAAATTAAAAGCGACAATATTGACATCCAGGACGAAACTAGAAATTACTATTTTAAATAATACATTAGGCCTTATAAATAAAACATAGCCAATAAATATCGAATATAAAATGATTTGACAACTGTCTATAAAAAAATGCACTATTCTTAATGTTAGGTCAGTGTTAGAGGCTTTACTTTATAGTGCTGCTATTTGCAGTTGCACTACTTTCCCCAAACTAGCTAATTTTGTCACATCATCTGTTCAAAGCTGAACATTACCTCCCAGTTTGCATTCATTTACAACATTTCATTGAATTTAGGTCCAATTTCAAATCCCCTTTGGATATTTTTGGGTTTTGTTGTGAAGAAGGCAAACTTCTGATAGTAACAACTGTGTTATGTAACAGAAATAACTTCATCATGTTAACACTACAGGAATATTTAACATTCATGCAGGACTGCTTACCAGTAACACACAACTGGTGCTAGTAGAAACTGCAGAGAAATGACCAATAACGCTGACCCTTACCTTCATTATTATCAGATGGTGAACTTGTTAGCAATACACTGAAGTTCTGTGCACAAGTTTTTGTGACACCCTGCACCTGAATGGTGTTAATCACGCAAATGCCAGCGCTACCAATGCAGCAGGACATAGAAACCATATGAGATGTGTTTTACAGTCACTTGTAAAGCAGTTGGAAGGCCTGTCATGGCTTCAGTATGTTTTCCTCTCTCGTACTGCGCCTCACATCGCCATGACAGTCAATGAGGACCGTAACATCTCTGTTAAAACAGTGATGTGTGTGTCATTATTGTGAAAGTGAGATGTGCATGTAAAAAGACCCAGTGTGAAGAATAACAGTGTGTGTCTGCCATTATTGTGGGAACAGATGCCTGTGATAAAAAGCAGGTGGCTGTGATGGCTTGCAAAGCCTTTATTTCATAGCAATAAGCCACAACACCTTGTTCTACATCTTACTCACACACAAACGCAGGACACGCACACATTCCAAGGCACAAGGCCTTACAGTGCAGTTTGTAATTAGAACCAGTCGTCAGCCTCAGCCTCCTCTGGTGACCCCAGTGTGTGTCTGGAAATCACAGCCGAGGGTTTCCCAGAAAACTAGGCGAGTGAGGAGGAGGAGTTTCTGATGTTTCTGTGTCTCTGCTTGTTGTCTCTCTTCTCTGCTGCCCCAATCAGAACCAGTAACATAAGAAAATACATAGCAGAGCCTTGCACGACACCCCAGACTCTCGGGCCTGTTCGGTGCTTACCGTACCTTTATTTAAACAAAGCACATAGGCACACAATTACACAACTCTTTCTGTCTTTTATGGAAAGAGTGAAGTTTTTAGCAGGTCTTCATCACTGGCTGAAGGAGACCCACTCAGGACTGGGTTGAGCATTTTGATTTTTAACTTACTTTTTGTTGAATTTTGTATTTGTTGTTTGGTCGAGCGTGTGAGACGGATAAACACTGGAACAGCCTGTAAACACGGTTATAGCGGAAAAAAGACGCCAGCTTCTCCTTGTTTCCCTCCCCACCATTGTGTGTTGTTTTAATTTAAATAAAATGTTTATGTTTTTTTCTGAACATAGACTACTGCCTTTCTTTCCGTTATGAGTTTGAGTGAATAAATCGCCACGTTTGGGCGCACTCTCAGGAGGGTGCATTTGCTTGCAACTGGAAGAGGATGCCGTTAAACAGTGCTATTATTTCTTCAGTTGACTCCTTCTCTTAGCCTCAACCAGCATTATTAGCAAACTTACTCATGGGCAGATAAATAGATGAATAAATCTCTCTTAGTTGATATATTCGTCCAAAATCATCCAACCATACTTTATACACTTTATCCAACAATATCATGCTCTGGACACTGGCTTTATATGTGTACAAAGTAATCATAATACTAACGACAGCATAAGCTGTGACAAACATTCAACAGCAGGGATTTTCATCAGCAGAAAAGAAAGCAGCTAAAATATATTAAGTGGTTAAATAGAGCCATTCACATTAGAACAAAACCTCTCTGAGTAATATATGTGCAGGGTTTGCAGAGTCGCAGCAGTAAAGTATAATTCTCATAAATATACTTGGATGGAAACCCAGCTACTGTCTTTTATTTTGTGCCAGCTCTCTGTCTCCCTGTTGCCGTCTCTGCTCTGAAATTACCATCTATCACATTTCCACACTGACCTCTGGAGAAGCTGTCCAGACTGAGGAAAAAAGTGTTGTGCTCCCTTTCTCCACTCTTCATTTCTTGCAAAATTTCCACCGCCTGCAAATGAAACAACGGACAAATGGTTAAGAGGAAAAGAGAGAGGAGGCGGCTAGAAAGAAAAGAGTAAACAGGGTAGAGAGTTAAAGAAACAAAGATTTCATGTTGATGAAAAACAACCTTGTTAGTCATGAGAAGTTGCAGTTATTTGTGTTATACGGCATCAGTCTTTAGTTGGTCTTGGTGAAGAAGTGGAACATGGACTAGAGCAATCTGGTGAAATAATAGACAAGGAAGACAGTCACTTTGTGACCCGTCGAGCCTCAAAGCCAAACCGACACTCACGTACACAAAGAGCCTGTGCCTTTAGAAGCTGAATCAGTCCTTAGCTTCCACATTTTGATTACTAACAGTTACATAAGGAATACTTAGTTTAGAGTAGCTCACTTGATGTACAATACTTAATCAGAGGACAGTGGTATTGGAATTTATTACTCAAACCCAAACAATATGCAGATTGAAGACTCTTCCAGAATATTCTGCTAGTATATGAAGTGCAAAAGAAGACAAATGGCTTTGCACAGACTTCCACGATAAGTTTATTTACTGCTGAATTGTTCTGGAGTGTGTCATCACATTTAGTCCATTTCAGAACTTATTCGCTTGTTAAAATAATTTTATTTCCAGGTGTTTGTGGCATTTTTTTTTCACATCTTAAGGCCTTTGTTCAAGAGTATATACGATCTTGAAAAGACATTCTTAGTGTTTTTACAAACTTAGTGGGGCATGTTAACACAGTGTAGCTCTTAGCAGAGCATGACAGTCACATGTGTGACACCCGTTAGCCTTTGCATGAGCAGAGGAAAACAAAGAAACAAAGACATGATGTGTGTAAACTACTCCAATTCTTTCCCAAGGGCAAACTTGTGATTGACTCTTACACACACACACACACACACACACACACACACAGCAGGATATCCACTAACCAAACAGACTTCCACTGGATCCTGTTTTAGTTTATCAAGCTGAAACTGGTCTACTTTGAGCCACTATATTGTCTTTCCCTAATTGTATATGCATATAAAGTTGGTCTTTATATATTTATATAAAAGCACAACAAAAAGGGGGTAGTGTCCACTTTAAAGTTTTTCACCAAAACTCCAAAACCACAATGTTAACAGCACTGATTCGTGACAGTGTGATAGGGTTACAAGTCTGAGATGATGGAATAGGCTGTCATCTGGAATAACTTCATTTCCGAGAGTTGAGTGCCAGATAACCCAGAAACTAGAATATCTGTAAACCTACAGAACAATAACACTACTGATCATGTTTTTTCTCAGTATAAATATAACTAAAGTTCAATAATTGTTTGATGCAACAGCACAATATTTTGTCACCTTAAATATATTTATCTGTGTACACTGGACATGTTGGTGATGCCTGCTAATCAAAGACAGACAAAACAACGAAGCAATTTATAGAAAGTTAGAAATTATGCCAAGCCTTTAATCCGTACAAGTAGTGGGTTTGCTGACAGAGCAGCTGAACCCTTTTATGTCAGATTGATCCTTTCCACAACACTCACCTTATAAATCTCTACGTTCCTCCATGGAAGAGGATCACAGCACCATTTTACAATGTGCTACATGCCACACGTAAATGCACAGAAACAGTAAAAACAAGGTCTGGCTCTGATTGGATCATAATGACTAATAAGTATGACGAAATCCCACTGAAGTCCTCTTCTTGTCATCCTGTCACTTTTCATATTCAGGATTTATGTTACATTAATATTTCTCTTTTATCTTTGGCATGAAGTACATTGCTGTCATCAAAAAGCTTGCCGCTTCAGCCACATGAATGGTTTTCATCCAAAATTTGAGCAGTTTAAAGAAGAATACTGGAAAATAAAATGTAAATTGTGCGTGTTTCCATTAAACTCCTTTAAAGAAAACAAATGGACTTCCAGATGGAGAATGGAGCTCCACCCAACATGAAAAATAGTAAACATCTGCCTAAAATGTTTCTGCATTGTTCATGCTTCGTGTCGTCACGTGATGAAAAAAGGAGGTGAGATATTTAAAGTCATCTGTTGTGGCAGTGCACCATTGATTTGTGTTTTTTCTTTTAATTTTAATAGCAATGGAACAAACATTCAGTTTTGATGAATCTGAATTTTAACTTTGGTCTCAAGCTTTTTTTGTTTTACTACTCACAACTACTTTTACCAACATTTCGAGCACACAGCGGTGAAGAACTTTTTTGGGTCCAAAACAATTTCCCCAGTTGCTTTGACAGTTCATTCGACATTTATGTTACAAAAAACAGTTAAAGCTGCTCTTAAATGTCCCGCAAGCCCAAGGTAAAGGTTTGTGTCTAAGAT